GCCAGGTGGCCTTGCATGCTTTCCAGGGATAGCGTGTACTCTCTGAGACTGTATTTCCCCGAACGTCCCTCTCCCTCATAAGGGTCACTTGGATTTACAAAAGTGCTTCTGCCGTGTGAATTCTTTTCAGCATTGAGAAGCAAGAATTAAGCAACCCATCCCAGAAACCCAACACCAACACCTCTTCAGGGTGTAAAAGAGCAATAAAAGTCCCATGAGGTTTTCATTGGCTAAAATTTGGAAGTAGTATAGTCTTGTCTGCTGTATAGTCTGGAAACTCTGCTGAAACTTGTCCACCATGGGCGGCCTTGCTATTATTTGAAACATACTTGGCATGGCTTATAGCATTAGGACAGCATGCAAACTGTCCTGGTACAACAAACTGGCCCACAAGTGGCCGACAAATGTCTAAGAAGGGCTCAACAGAGTCTCTTACCTTGTGTAATTCTACTGCACTCCCACTATGTGTAGTGTAGTGAAATCCCTCTTCTGGCAACAGCTTCTATGGAGGGGCAGAGTGAAGCTGCTGAGGATAGTCCAGAGGAGCCCTAAAATGCTGCCTGCAATCAATCAACTCACAGAGCAGAAGGTGACTGCCCCTTGGGTTTTTGAGACCGCACATCTTTATGGGAGCAGACAGTGGAGTAGCTGGTGGGTTTGAACCGCTGATCTTGCAATTAGTAGCCCACCAAGGCACCTGGGTTCCTCCAGACCTAGAGCTTGGAAAAATTCTTGATAGCTTAATTCTGTCTGATTTGAGGGGAAGGCATGAAGCTAGAGGCCCAGGATTAGCTGTTGTTTAGTGGCCAGAATTATGTTTACAGGTACTTGGAGCAAGGGTGTGTGTATTTGGAGTCTCTATGGCCCTGGGAGAAAAGAGTCCCGGTAGCATAGTGGTTATACATTGGGTTGTGATCCATAAGGTCAGAAGTTCAGGAACCACCAGTGACTCTGCTTTCTATTCCTGTAAAGACTTAGAGTCTTAGAAATTCATAAGGGACAGCTCTACCCTGTCCTAAAGGATCACTGGGGACAGCTCTACCCTGTCCTAAAGGATCACTGTGAGTTGGCTCCATGGTGGTGAGTTTGAGCTTTTTGAATTTTTAGGACCCTGGGAGGCATGAGGAGTAGTCAGCTGGCACCTAGCTTCACAAATGGGGTGCATTCACTTCCTTGCAAGCCAGAGAAGAAACTGCTCTGGCCCCTCAGAGGGCACAAGCCTCGGGGTGTTGCTTATCAGAATGTGCAGATTCCTGAACCTCCTGTTGGTGCTGATTCTGTGCGGGCCATGCTCTCTCTCTCATCTGCCTCCAAAGCTGGTTCAGAAAGGCAGGTACTAGAGATAAGTTCTTTCCCATGGGCTAGCCAGAGGAGACACCTGGCATTGGAC